TTTTTAAATTTTGAGATGTTGTAGCTAAGTGGCCCAGGCTGGGCTGGAACTTGTCATCCTCCTGCCTCACCTCCCAGAGCACTGGGGTCCCAGGTGTGTGTCACCCCCAGTTAGTTTTCGTTAATATTGGTTGCACTGACATTCCCCAGGTGTCCCTGGGGCCCCCGGGTGCTGTTATTGATCAGTGCTGGGAGGCTGCACCACTGGGCGCCAATGGACTCTCCCCCAGTGCTCACCCAAATTTTAAAGAAAGAGCTTTTGCCTGATCTTTGCTTTGTGGGGGCGTAGATTATGAGAAGGGAAGGGAAGGGGGATTCCCTGTAGAGGAGGAAGCCAGTGACACCTAAGGCGCAGTTTAAACTTCTCAGCAGGCAGCCCCTGCAGTTACAGTTCACCTGGAGGAAATGGGAGAATTGGAGTCCTGACCTCCACCCATCCAGGGCACTGCAGAGGTCTCGCTTTTACTGTTAAGGTAGCATCTCTCTCAGCTGGCAGTAGTCTTAGAAAAGATACTGTTCTATTTGTAGTATATATTTTTAGTTTATGAAATACAGTATTTCTGTTTACAAAATACAGTAATTCTTGAGCATGGAAAAGTAAAGGATTGCTGGCAGCGAGCTGCATTTTTTTTTCTAAACAAGAAATTAGTTAAAACACTAGTTTAAAAAATAAATGTGGCAATAGATCTGAGTAATACCGCCAGGACTGTGGAAAGTCAACTGGCCTGAGGGAACCCAGTTCCCGAGGTCCTCGCTCAGTAAAAAGCCGCACATTCATAAATCCTCAGAGCGTTGCAGCTGCATCAGGGTCTCTTCCCTTCCAAGTCCATGGCACAGGGCCTGTGGAGACACTGGGGTGTGGAGAGGGAGAGAGGTGGAGGGAGGAAGGAGGGAGGCTTCCAAGTCTAGAAGTCCTGGCTGAGCCCCCGTGTGCTGTGGGCGGGGCCTGGAAGCTGGAGGCTAGGGACACCCCTGCACGTCCATTTTAGTCTCTTGGAGAAAACATCCTGTGGCTTTTTGTTGCAATTAGTTTTATGGTAATGTAATTTAGAGTTAATGTAAAGTGCTTTGTATTTCTGTTTTTCCTGTTACATAGAAAAGCAGCTGTTTATGGATTGAAAATAGAGCAGAATTTTAAGTGATCTAGTTGTAATGTACTTGGGAACTTGCTCATTCATCTCTTAATTATCAGGCAGTGCATTATCCTCCCGGATGTGGGACGTGGAACTGATCCCAGATCAGTAAGCTGAGTATCTGTCCCTACAGAAGGGATAACTAAAAATTTAGACCAAATACGGTGTAGAAATCAATATTACTATTAACATGAAATTGCCAGCACTCAAAGATAAATAGCTATTTTTGTCTTGAATGGTTCGTTTAAAACCTAAATTCCATTGTATTATGTGTGTAAATATAGTTTTGTCAGAATTCTAGAAGTCAGACATAGTATAAGAAATTAAGAGTCCAATAAGTCCTTTCATGTTATATGAAAAATCAAAGTTGATTATTAGTAAGAAATAAAAAATACTCAAATTATTTGTCTGTTAAAACCCCTTATTTGTTGTTTTTCCTTCAAACTATAATTTGATTATTTTAGATTACTGTTCTTTTAAGGAGCATATATATTTGGAATGTGAATTTTGAAAAGTACTTAAATTAGTAATCATATTTCATTTATGTAATGAGTCCATGTAGTTATCTAGCAGTAACATAAATATTGTGTTGCTTACCAAATTAGTCTTCATTTATTTTATTAACCAATAGCCATAATAAACTGAAAATGCTCCCTGAAGAAATTACAAATCTAAGAAACCTGAAGGGCCTATATGTCCAGCACAATGAACTAATGTGCTTACCAGAGGGATTTGAACAACTTTCCAGTTTAGAAGATTTAGTAAGTTGTAATTTTCTCATTTTTGTATTGCTCGGGGATGGTGGAATATTTCATCATGCTGAGAAATTGAACATATGGTTGAAATTTGGGGACATGTGCTAAAGTAGATGACCAGAAATTGTTCATTTCAGTGATACTGCTAAATTAGAAACATTTGTATTTTTTATGTTATTAATCAACTTGAAGTCATAAATCAGGACTACAGTTTGGGGAGGAGACTATGTAGATGACTGTGTTATTCAGAGGCTTTGATTAGCTTAGCAGAATATAGGGAGGTGTCTTTAGCATATACCAGTTCTGTAGTTTTCTAGTTCCATTTCCGTTTTCTTCTTTATTCTCAGTGGCCCTTCTTCCCTCTTAGTATACAGACAGTTCCTTCAAGGCCTGCCTTAGGTTCGCTGTTTTTCAAAATGACCCCTGTACCTATCTTAGATGGACGTAGCTATAAAACAATATAAGTATTATTTTAATCATGATATCAAGAATAATTAAAGTGCTTTAGGCACTATGCTTCTTGGTTTACATATGACCAGTGGGTGGTTGTACCCTAAGTACAACTGAAGCTGATAAAGGAAATTGGTCACAAGCCATGCACCAAGTAAAGAATGCAGGGAAGATTGCTTGTTTGCTGTGTTTTGAGATGGAGTCTCTCTAGGTTGTCCAGGCTGGCCTTGGGCTCACTGTGGGCCAGGCTGGCCTCAAGCTCTCAGTGATTCTCCTGCCTCAGCCCCCAAGTGCTGGGGCTAAGGCATGTGCCACTGTGCCTGGGCACAGTGACAATTTGAGCATGAGCCAGCGTAATGCCAAACTCTTTGTCTCTTTTTTTTTTTTTTCACTTTAGCTACCAAGAGAATGAGGTTCCACTGTAAGGTGTTTCTTCTTAAAGATTTATTTCCCTTTTACATGTTTAGAAAATACATATCATTTTAGCCTTAAATTTTACTTTTTAATTAAAGGAAAAATTACTCTTTTTACTTCTACTTACTCTGTGTGTGTACCTTCCTTAACAGTCTGTCATTTGCTCTAGTATTTAAACACATATACTATACCATCTCAGCTATTCATTCCTTCAGTGTTTTTTTCTCTCAGTGTTTAATCTTTTGATCTGGTAAGATCAGAAATAAGGTTGGGAAAGCAAAAAGTAGACAAAATGAATGGCAAATAAGGGAGTCATGAGATTTTCTTAAAAATTGTCTTTAAGTTTTATAAAATTAAAAAATAGCGTTTATGAAACATACATTCAGAGCTGAAAGCTAAAGCTAGGAAAACCTGTATAATAAAAGAAGCCTTTCATTTCTAGTCATTGGTGTAATGCAGAGATGTTTCATTTGAAACTTGTGTTTTAGAGAGTGTTAAATCTCAAATATGTACAGCAATACATTAAAACAGATTAAAGAATTAACATCTGTAATCATTTAAACTTTCTTTAGGTTATATGAACTGCTTAGTCTAACAGTACTAGATAAATACTTCTTGAAGAAATGACTTGGCAAACATATGGACTACATTGATATTTTTATATCTAACTTTATTAACTGCAGTATTTAAATATTAGTAATGCTGTTTGGAATTTAGAAGAAATTTTGTTAAAATTATTTGGGCTTTTTAAAATGGCTTGAGAGTTTCTGAATTGTAACACTTTCAAGCTTTTCATTTTAGAATAATTTCAGATTTTAAAAAGTTATAAATGTAGGAGAGTTCTCATGTATTTTCTACCTAACTTCTAATGTTAGCAGTTACATATTATAGGACATAAGTAACATCTCAGAAATTCACAGTGGTATAGTACAAACTTTTCAGATTTCTTCTGTTTTTCACTAGTATCCTCTTTTGTCTGAGATCTAGTCCAAGATACCATCCCATACAGTGACCCAGACTTTTGATGTTATAGACTGTGATAGTATTACGTTTATGATTGCAACAGTAAATGAATGGATCCAGCATCTTTATCTTTTTTTTATCTTCTTAGTTCCCTGCAAGTAGCAGAGTACAGTTGTTTAATGTTAGGCCCAATGAAAATTTCAGAAGAAAATTGCTTGAAGTCATCTTTTCTTGGTCATGGTTGCCATTGGTAGCTAATGGAATGCTTTATCTTGATATTACAAGAATTACCTGGTTTGGGCTGGGGATTTAGCCCAGTGGTGCAAGCGCTTGCCTGGTAAGTGCAAGGTTGTGAGTTCGATCCCCAAAACAAGAAAAAAAAAATTACCTACTTCATAATATCGTTTCTTGAAGGACATTTAAATAAGTGAAGGACCCTTTCTTGAAAGACATAAGTGTTTTAAGGGAAAAACAAAACAAACAAAAAAACAAGGCTTAAAGAAACATGGGGGTAGAAGTACTAATTAAGCAAGATGACTGAAGAGTAGAAGAACTTCCAGCTTTGGGCACAGCAGACTTGCTGAAGTCAGCAGAGCCGAGACAAAGTATTTTCTTCTAAGAATTGCAAGTGGCCACTTTCTGAGCTTAATTTTCTAATTTTTAGAGAATTTTCTTTATTGAAAAGTATTATTCATCTCATATGATAGTTTTCTAATAATGTGCCTAATTCATCGTAGGTACTCGGCAACTGCAAGATAGATGAGTAGTTTATGCACTGCAAACATGATGCATGCTAGATCAGCTTTATTAGAAACCTATGTGACGTTAACTAACGTTATATTGATATTAACGGCATTAAAATGAATTATTACAGATCTCATCAGTTTCAATTTAATATTCTTTAAGAATTCATTCTATTTTGTCTACTACATTGATGGGCAGACACCTTGTAGGCCTGTAGATTTTGAAAGAATATCAAAATGAATGAAGGTCTGTGAAATTAGCGGTGGAGGCGAGAAAATCTGTCACTCCTGAAGTGGCCTCTTTTATGTTGCATTCTCTCAGAATCATGAAATCCTCTTTAATGATGTTTGCTTGTTTTTCTGTTTTCTCATTTATTCATGCGTTTTGTTTTTTCTGTTTTCAAAGGACCTTTCAAACAACCGTCTTGCAGCTGTTCCTGGTAGTTTTTCTTCTCTACCCAGTCTGATGCGACTCAATCTTTCCAGTAACCAACTGCAGAGTTTGCCAGCAGAAATAAGTAGAATGAAAAGTAAATCTTCTATATTTTAAACCTTGCATGACTTTGAAGTTGATACATATTGCCTGTACAAAACTAAGTTTTAATATAATTATACAAAAAAATACATAGATTTTTATGGAATAGTAAGTAGTTAGATTTTCTTTAAACCATAATTGTCTAGCAATTGTCTGAATAGTTACCACCAAAAGGCACACTATTAAAAAGGAAAAAAAAAATCTGACTGTGAATTGTAGTAAAACTATGTAGCTGAGAAATTGGTAAGTTTTCTGCTATGCTGTGTCTCATTTTTGAGAGATTATTTCTGTCTCAGAAGTGGACACACCCATTGTATGTTGTTATAGTACTTACAGCTGTAACACAAGAAGGTCTTGCTTTACTTGAGGACCCAGGTTGTTAGTCCTGTCATTTTAAAATGAAAATTCAAAATTTTGTGTTTCTGTTAAGGTTTACTATTACCCAGTCATGATTGTATACTGGAAAACTAATATTTGGGGAGTGCTATTTTCTTTTTCTTTCCTTATTTTTTTCTTGTTGTTACAAAACATAATAATACAGGATATAAAAATTAAGGTACCATTTAAATAAGTATCCTTTTACTTTAGGATTGCTAATTGAGTCCAAAATGTTTTTTTTTTTTTTTTTTTTTTGTTCAAAGACAGAAATGTTGTTTCTTGATTAATGGTGTCTTGCTTGTCAGCTGTAGACTATTCACTAATCAAGTCTTTTTTTGCTAGTCACATATATCCTCTTCATTTTTATAACCATTTCATTTGTGAAGCAAGTCATAAAAGGGATTTTTTACATTTGGTTGCAGATAATTTTGAGATAAATTGGAAAGATCTGCTATTTTACTTTAAGTTAATTATTTATCATTTATAATAGAGAAACATAAATTAGGCTGTCTTGCATATATAAGAAAAAAGCTTAGCTTTCTTTATAAACTTGTGAAAGTACCTTTAGAGACAAGCACATTGTTGAAAAATCAATTCTGCCAGGCATGGTGGAGCGTATCTGCAATCCTAGCTACTTGGGAGTCCCAACACAGAGGAACCCCATGTTTGAGGCCAGCTTGGACAACATAGCAAGAGCTTGTCTCAAAATAAAAACTAAAAAAAGACTGGGTTATAATTCAGTGCAGCATGTGCAGGGGCCCTAGGTCCAATCCTCAGTTTGTAGCAACTTTCGTAATTCTCTGTTTAATTGATGTTCAAGGGCTTTCTGTTCCTCATACATAACAAGAGATATTTGTAATCTAGTGTAAGTAGAAGATTTAGCTTTTATGTCACTATTAGTGATTAGATTCCAAGAATAATATCCTACAATTATATGGCACTGTCTTGGTTACTTGTCTCTTATTGCTGAGACAAAATATTTGATGTCCAAAATGAAGAGAGGGAAGGTTTATCTAGCTTAAAGGTTTTGGAGGTTTTGGCCCATACTCTGCTGGCTCGAAGGTAGGGTGGCATGGCTGAGGGTCGGCTGTTCATGGCGGCTGTGGCAGATATCAAATGCAACAAGGACAAAAGGGAAAAAGTACGCCTCCGTCCCTCCTTTACATTGTATGTCAGCTACTCGCAGCACTCACATCGTCAATCCCTGCACTAGACAATGGACCAATCACAAATGCTAGACTCAGCTGCCTCCATGAGGCATTTGGGGGGACTACATGAGGCTTTGGGGGGACATCCAGAGACAAACCATAAGAAGCACAGTATAAGTTCAGAATGCTCTTGTGAATATCATTTTAACATCACATCAGTCACAACAGTGCTGTAAGGTAGATGCAATAACTACTTTTTTTTTTTCTAGCATTTTAAAGATTCGTAGGCCCAGGCTTATACGTTATACTGGAAGCAGTGGAGCCAGGACCTGAGTCTCCTTGCTGCATCCTTACTGCTCTTCACCACACAGCACTGGCTTTCTCTCAGCCCGTGGTCCTGATGCAAGTATTTGTGAAGATTAGGGCTCTAGTTTCAAAATGAAATTTTATGTGTAGAATTTACTTGGTTCTGGTAGACCTGAGAGTGACTTGCTTTTCACCCTTCTAATCAAATAATACAAAAATTGCTAGTAATAGTTAAAAGTAGTATTGTACTTGTTTTCCCAAGAGTTAGCTTCATATATGAAAAGGAAAGCAGTTGTTTCAGTGGAGTCTTGAATTAAGTTAAAATTGACAGCTTGACAATATAGGAAAAGCAGTTGTAGAACACACATTACATACGTAACTCAGTGGGAAGGTTGAGAGTGAACGCTTGGAGAATGTATGGGGCCTGGGTAAATGGAAGAATTTACAGTGTACGTTGGGAGAAACTGCTTAGTAAGATGCTGGGAAGGAAGACCTTTGCCTTTCTCCGGTTTTGTTTTTTTCTGTCTGGCTTTACGAGAGACACAGGTGGTACATATCCTGTAACCAAGGACATTCTCTTGAGCTATAGTATGTGCAGTTACTGAGAGTGTTAGTTGAGGAAAAGCATGTGATTTAAACAAGGAAGACGGAGATAGGGAGCGTCGGAGGGAAGCAGTATGGGTGGATGGAAGACAGGAAATGGGTGAGGACTTGGAGCAAAGGTCAGCTTGCCAGAGGTAAAGGTACGTCTGAGTCACTAACCGCGTAGAGTTACTGGACTTCTGTTTCCAGCACATGCGCATGCATGGTTATATGTTGTTAGTTACTGTTAAGCTTTTTAAAGATACATGTTGAGAGAAGTAGCATATGATTTATTTATTTTAGAGTACTTCAACTGAATTCTAAACAATTTTCTTTTTGACTGTAAGATGGCCTGGGCAGAAAAGTAGTTCTAATTTCCCCTGAATATATATTGCAGAATTAAAGCATTTGGATTGCAATTCAAATGTCTTGGAAACTATACCTCCTGAATTGGCCAGCATGGAGTCCCTAGAACTGCTTTATTTGCGAAGGAATAAATTACGTTTTCTACCAGAATTTCCTTCTTGTAAACTGTTGAAGGTACTGTTTAGTTGATTATTCAATAACTGCATATTTTCCAAAAGTTATTTATGAAAATTAATTTGTAAAAAAAATCCTGCTAGCCTTCTTTTATGTTGGGCTGATTATTACTCTTCAGTACTGTGTTTGTCTTGTGTTATGCTTTTCAGAATGTCAATATGGCTACTGACAGTAATGATACTGTTAGTAATCAGTTTTTGAAAAGCTATAATTAACTTAAAAAGTAGAAATTTACCATTTGTTTGGTGAATAATATATATTTAGTTAATTTTCTAAGTTGCTACTTTTCACATTTACCTGATTGCTCAGATCTGTTTAAAATTACTTTCTTTTAATTTTAACTGTATAGCATTAATATTCTCTTTTCCATGTACCATCCTTTAGGTTTCTGTATATTTTTTTATTGTATGAGTGTTCGGTGTTACTTTTTTCTAAATAGGATAGTGATAGTGATTTAAAAGATATGGGATAAACTTTTATTTGCTATGATTAATTTCCATCTAATTGTGAAAATTTTGCTAATGAGAAATAGTATATATAATAACCACTAATGACAGTATTAAATAACAAACTGACTTTATATATAACTTTTTTGAACTTACATAATTGTTTTGAAACTCATTTTTTTCCATGTAGTTTTTAAATTGATAGTGTCAGTCCTATAAATTTAATCACTAAATCATTGCACTGCTTTTTTTGTACACTTGACACTTCTACCAAACTCAGCCTTACTTATTTTTAAGCTGCAATAAAATTCTTGAAAAAGTTTTTGCCTTTTTTTTCAGTTGTAAGATGGCTTAAAAGTAATTGAAAATGGAAGCATATGAATAATGGAAAAGTTGCATTTTTCTAATGTATGTTTCAATGGCTTAGAATTAAGAGTGACCATATTTTTTTTTATTTGGTGGTATAAAATTGAACAAATACACATAACTGATCTTTGATTTTATAGGAACTGCATGTAGGTGAAAACCAGATTGAAATGTTAGCGGCAGAACACCTTAAGCATCTGAGTTCTATCCTTGTGCTAGACCTGAGGGATAACAAATTAAAATCTGTTCCAGATGAAATTGCACTACTACAGTCTTTGGAAAGGCTGGACCTAAGCAACAATGATATTAGTAGGTAAGTAGAAACATCAGAGTAATGGAAGTTGCCTGTTATTTGGGTATAGTTTGTTAAAATATTTATAAAAGTCTTAATTCTTTTTCTCACATTGAATTCACTAAGCATTTATTAAGCATTATATGCAAAGAATTATTCTTTGTAGCCAGCTTGATATCATAATAAAAGCAGATATATTTACAAATAAATGTAACTCACTTGATTCGAACTGTAAGAAGGCTGAATTTTTTTTTTTCTCGTCTTTTTTGTGACAGGGTCTTGCTGTGCAGTTCAGGCTGGCCCTGAACTCCCTTTGTAGCCCAGGCTGGTCACAAACTGGCAAAGAGACTCCTATCTTAGCCTGGCATTAGCTGATATTACAGGCATTTGCCACCACACCCAGCTAAAAGGCTGAATTTTTGTTTTTAATTGACAGCTTTATCTTTTAATTCCTAGATGGTACCTCTGCAGATAAGAAGACCTTGATCAGTGGTTTTTTTGTTTTTTGTTTTTTTGTCTTTTTCATTTTTTTGTTTTGTTTTGTTTTTTGTTTTTGGGGGGTTTTTTTTGTCTTTTTTCATTTTTATCGGTACCAGGGATCGAACTCATGACTGCCTGCTTGCAAGGCAGGCGCTTATGCCGCTGAGCTAAATCCCCAGTCCCTAAACCTTGATCAGTGTTTTAAAATTCGTTAAATATAAAGCCATAAGAGAAATACAAAATATTTTGAGGAAAGTAGAGGGTTTACAATTTACTGAGCAGACTTGGGGCAGTCTTAGTAGGAGTCATTTCCAAGTGATCTTCAGCACTGGGTTAGGTTGAAGCAGTTGGTGACCAGGGGCACAAAAGTGAGGACCGCATTTACTTTCAGGGTCTTACCTCCCCTGGCTCCCAGGGGATCTGTGTCTGGAAGCGTCCTTTGGGCAGGCAGAAACAGTCCAAACAGCTTCTGGGGTTCCCAAGAGCAGGCGGGGAGGGAGGTTGTGAGGACTTAGGGCTCTGGCTAAGTTGAGCCCTCTGAGTAGAAGAGGTCCTTGATTAATCAGTTTTCTTTAGTTCAGAGTTACTGAAGGAAGACTGTGGCAGAACCAATCTCACTACAATAGTAAAACAGTAAACAGATGATGGCTGGCTGGATGCATTGGCTGGAAGGGGTTTTTTGAATGGGAACTCTTAAGTGGGATTCTGTTGGTTCACCGTAACACACCTGTCACCAGGCTTCACTTGTCACATCCAGTCACTGTGTACTGAGGACTCGAACTATAACAGCAGTGGCAAGGGATAGGGATGGAGGGCAGAGGTGAGACATAGGTGGTGAGTCAGAGGAGCCGTGTTGATGAACTGGTCGGGAGTAGTAAGCAAGGAATCATGAAAAAGAGAGAGAACCACAGTACTTAGGGAGTTACATTTTAGATACCAAAAATGAGACTCAGTCTTACCCTGGATTGTGTACCAGTTAGATGTCTAGGGTTTGGCACTTGGATGCTAGAAAGAGAGGGTGCTGTTTACAGAAGAAAAATTAGGCAAGTTAGATTTTCCTTCATGTGTATGTTTTGATAAGTATTTTTAAAAATTAGGTTTTTCCCCACAGTTCATGTATAACACGTGGTACAGCTTGACCACAGATCTTGTTTGTTTTGTTATTTTTGTTTGTGTATTTGTTGTTTTGAGATGAGGTCTCTGTTTAGGCTGGCCTGGGACTCTGGGCAGTCATCCTGCCTCAGCCTTCCAAGTGCTGGGATTATTACATCAGGAACAACCACTTGTGTCTTTCACCATAGAGGAACAGGTTTCTGTGGGTAGTGAGTAGCTTTTCATTAACGTATCACAGAATCAACATGTGCCCATTATAAGTATTGACATGTAAATTTTTCTGTGTAGTAATTTCATCAAATTCCTGCGTGAAACAATGTAAAGCAAGGTAAAAGTAACTTTTATAGATGCCTCACAGACACTGGGATTGGATATAACGGTATTTAGTAAATATTAGAGTTGTTTTTCCCTTTCTACAAATATTTCTGAGATATTAATGATAATTTATTTTGTATCTGTCTAGATTTTCTTCCAAGTAAATACTGGTTCCTCACGCTGCTCGTAGAATATTTTTTATAAAAAAAAAGAATTAGATCATTCTGCTTACGGGGTTTGATGGTTTCCCATGGCCATAGCAATGTATTATGGCTATGTATTATAATCACTTAAGACACTAAGGGAAAAAGTACATGTTTTGAGGGACCAGTACTTTAGATCACTTACAATGAGATCCTAGAATTCTCTTTTCTCTTTTTCTTTTGTTTTCTTGTCTTTTCTTTCCTTCCTTTCATTATTATTGTTATCAGTATTATTATTATTATTATTATTATTATTATTATTATTATTATTATTATTATTATTATTGAAACCTTTCCTGGGAAGTGGTTGTGCCTCTGGTCTTCCCACTGACATGTTGAGAACTGCCATCTTACAAAGCCCACATTTACTAGCAAAACAGTTTCAGGGTGTTTCTCACTCAGACTTCATTCATTGTCTTTTGCTATTGCAGGTCTCTTGCCTTGACTACCCTGAACTATAAACACACCAGCTCGTCCTTTTGTTCGTTCATCCCCGAAGGCCCTCTGCCTCCTTGCTGTCCGAGAGTGGCCCATCCTTTCGAAGTGCAAACCCGGCTTTGCTTTTGCTTTCTTAGCTTTCCCCTGCCTAGTGTCTAGCTCTCCTCTCACAGCATCTCAGGTTGCTTAGCATTGGTCTTGTCGTACATGTTGTATCTGATGCTCATTTCTGCTGTGCCATTGACGCCTACTGAAACCCACCAATTCAGGCCTTGAGTTTGTTGGCTTGACAGGTGTGTGACTCGTGACTGGAAACGCACAGCAAATGCTTAAGTTAAAAATTGTATTACAGAAAGGGACACACTGCTGTTACCCTCATTCTGCTCAAAACACTCCCCTTTCTTTGAGTGCATTTCACACTCACCCCATTTTTCTTCCTACATCTTGAAAGACCTCTTTTGTGTTGTCTTTTGGAGGTGTGATTAAAAAATACAGTAAACGCTGCTGCTTAATAACATCCAGCAGAGAGGCGGAGCTGTCAGTGTGACATAATGTAGAGTGATGGCGTGCCCAAGCCCCCTCAGGCCAGCTGGTGTTACAGGAACAGTTGTGAGGTAGCCGTGGTGACACCACCAACCACATGCATGAAAGAGGCTGTCCAGAAGTGCTTCAGAAAGTGCCAGGAACAAGGGGAGCATTCGGAGAAGGATAGTGGCACTGTGTCTTTATGATCATTGTTCTTAAAACATTTAGTCATCGACTGTGACTGTGTATCTGAAGTAGTCATTGCTGCTGTCAGGTAGAACATTTCTGTCTCCCCAGAATTTCCTTAGGCGTTTTGTAGGCAATTCCCTCTCCGGAGAGGTAGCATTTGCTAATTGCTCATGTGCTCAGGTCTTGTTCTGCCGTATTAGAATGCCCGGACATGGCATCACATGTGGTGTTGCTTTCACACACAGCATGCCTCAGAAAGCTTTGGCCATTCATTTATGTGGTGTTTGTGTTGTTAGTTCATTTATTCTTTTTGCTGAATATTACTCTATTACGAGCCTTGACAGTGTGCTCATCTCTTCACTACTCAGCTGATGGACATTTGGGTCATCTTCGATTTTTTTGGCAATTGTGAACCTTTCTGTGCAAGTCTCAGTGTGGACATTATTTCTTTTGGTTAAATACTTAGTTGCGGGATTGCTTAGCTGTATGATAGGTGTGTGTTTAGTAAAAGATTCCACTATCCACAGTGGCTGCTCTATGTTGTATTCTTACTGCATTTGGTTAATTGTGTGTAAATCATTCTCGTATGTTCAGTGAAAAGCTTAGAACAATACTGCCATCTCCACACTACCATTTGCTATTTATAGAAGTTCAGTTTGAGATTGTATCTCCTTACTGAATGAAAACATCTGGGTGATGAAAATTATTTGTTCTTTTTTGCATATTTTTCATTTAAAAAGAATTTTGTTTGCTGGAAGTGCAAAATCAAAATTATCAGTGAGAATGGTTGTCTTGAGATACTGATTCATTAATAATTATATTTTTAACATTTAATTTTTGACAGTGGATAGAATTTAATTTAGCAAATGTTTTATTGACCACTTTCTATTTTTGCAATTTTTGTATGACAGTGTCAAAAATATGGATAGCTTTTCTTGTGTGTGTTTAGCATGTATCTTCAGGGAAAATAGTTTAGGCTTAGTAGCAGGGCCTCCTTCACATCTATTACGGATATATGTTTGTCATATGTTCTTATTTTTAGTCGATTATGTGATTTGGTTATTCTTCTATTGAATGTTTTAATCGAAATGAATTTAATTGTTTACAGTCTGCCCTGTTCATTGGGAAACCTTCATTTGAAATTCCTGGCACTAGAGGGAAATCCTTTGAGAACCATTCGAAGAGAAATTATTAATGTAAGGATGTTGAGAATTGAGCTCTGTAATTTTAAATCAAAATTCAAAGATGGATGCTGATCTGTAAAACTGTAAGATGTGCCCCGGTGAATGTGTGTCTCTGTCTCCATCCTTTTAGAAAGGAACTCAAGAAGTCCTAAAATATCTACGCAGCAAAATCAAAGGTACTTTTTCTACTTTCTGCTTTTTCTATTTTCCATTGTATTTTGAAGAATACATGAAAGATGATGAAGTGTCAGCTGCTCACATTTCAGTGTAGTGTGAATATGAATGTTTGGAAGGAACACCCTTGGCAGTCATGGTTCTAAATTCGGATCCATGCAAGCCATACAGATCCTGAAGTTATTTTAAAAATTCTTAAACTCACAATGATTCAGTCTCTTAGATTTATGTTAAACTCTACCAACTATAAAATAACAAAGCTTCAGTAGTACCTAATTCTTCAACTTAACCAAGCAGCAGAGGTTTACTTTCAGGATATAGTGTTTGGATTCAGCTGACCTGTAAGTATGTCGACATTAAGTATGTATCCATGCATAGCTTTGCTAAGTTCTGGCAAAAACTCAGAAGAGAGACATTTTTAAGATATAATTACTTAAAATGAATGTGTACCAAAAATGAAAATAATATAAATGTATTTATTTTCTAAATTCTAAATCTTCACTGAAGGTGTGATAAATTCTAGTTTTGTTTTTTCATGTCTGTCATCATAAACTAGATATAAACTAGAGCATGAAGCAAATAATTAGTTACAAATAATGAGTCAAGTGCTGATGGCAGACTTAGTGGCCGAGTGCAGCAGCTGCCAGTTGAGGTCACCGCCGTGGGTTTCACGTTGCCTGAATCACCAGTCGGCACAGGTTAAAGGAGTAGCATAATTGCATTCTTCCTCAATTTTGTTTTCTACTGTGGTATTCAAAAATTATTAAGCTGATGTTCTAAGATTCATTTCCTACCTGTGAGGAAGTTTCTTCCTTCTGCAGATAAGCTTTCCTCTCAACAAGGCAGTTGATTACTCTGACACAACTCAGAGGTCACATCAGAGTAGTCCAGATTTTTAAGGACACAGAAAACCAGGGAAAGCTTTGCACAAATTGCACTTATATACAAGCATTCCTCTATTAGCAACTGTTATCCCAAGATGAGTAAGGAAATCTATGTGTATAATTTTATTTTCTCCAGAAGCCTGGGAGGCAAATAAATCCTTGAGCATGTTGGTGGGTGGGGAAAGCAAACTGATCCTGGGAGCCCTGTTCTGGAAGGATTGCCCAAGGTCCTCTGCCTCTCCAGGCCTCTGCCCCCAGAGGCCCTGAGGTGCTGTGCTTCAGTGACTTCTCACTCCTTGAGTAGCTCAGTCTTAAGCCAGAGCCCCATCCCCAGAGGGCTGCCCACTGCCTCTCCCCAGTGTCTCTGGTGTGTGTCACTAGGGGAGCCTGCTCCAGGCTGCCCCTGCTTCGGGTTTCCAATTTCTTAAAAGTTGGAGGTTAGGTTATTGATTTGAACTTACGTAGGCATTAATAACGATGAATTTGCCTCCAAGCACAGCTTTAGCTGCTGATTATGTGCTTCCATGTATTCTGTCATCTTTCAAAGTATTCTCTGTTGATATCTTTTGACTTCTTTTGACTTGTTTAATAGCTTGTTGATTAATTTTGTTGTAATATATTCCTGACAAACTATTTTTACTTCAAAAACTTGTTCTCATAGTGCTAGAGATGTTCTTCAGGTCATGATGGAGTTACAACCTGATAGATCCATCTTTCCTTGACGATATGTCACAAGTGACCTACTGACACAGTGTGTAAATCTAAAAGTTTGATCTTCCAAATTTGAATAAATGTGAGGTCAAAAGAAGGAATGTAGGAGAGTATGTTTAGTAGAAAAAATAAGAAGTGAAAGCTCTTGGTGCTGCCCAAGAAAGGGGAGGAAGTTCACCATGCTTTTTTCATCTAGGCAGTATGGAGTGTTTTAAAGGAGATGAGTTTCAAGAGTTTAAAAAGAAACCAGTTATCTTGTATTTTTAATGTTATCTTGAATCTAGGTCCAAGATCAGAGGCGGAGAGGAGCTGTTTTTTGTTGTTGTTGTTTGTTTTTTGTTTGATTCCGGGCATTGAACTCATGACCTCGAGTTTGCCAAGCAGGCACTTACACCGCTGAGCTAAACCCCCAGTTTTAGGAGCTGTTAAACTGTTAGCAAGCCAGACCTGGTGACACATGCCTGTGCTACCAGTGCTCCGAAGGCTGAGGCAGGAGTTCAAGGTCGGCCTGAGCTACATAGTAAGCTCAAGGCCAGCCTGAACTGCGTAGGGAGACCCTGTCTCAAAAAACCAAACCAAACCCCGTAAGCCCTGGATAACACTCTTCTTCTTAGAGGGAAAAGTTCTTACCTCTCTTTTCTGATCCCAGCCTTTTATCCTTTTTGTCCTGTGTTCGCCTTTGCCTCTCTAAGCTTGTCTTTCACTGCTCACATTAGCTGTTTTCCCGGGTGCGCTGGTTTCTGGTACCCAGCCCTGTGGCCAGATGTTCCTTGACTGCCTACGCCCAGTAACTGACCTGCCCCACTGCCATCGGCAGGCTCAGCCCTGCAGTATCGCCTCCCCCAGGCCTCTCCCTGCTTCTCTCCTGAGCCACTTGCTCACAGTCTTGCACGTGCCTTCACAGGCACCGGGTCTCTTCCTTGCTCTTTCCATAACCTCCACTGTTTCTGACAGCTCTCCCTGTGGTGAAAAGGAGGTCAGTTTTCCCGTGATGACATCAGCAGGGTGCTGTGGCCTCTTACCCCGACGGGCAGTCCCTGAGCCAGGGCTGTGGAGCTGGAAATGGGAAGAGTGGCTGAGTGTCACCAAGCCCCAGGAGCTGAGCACTCCATGCAGGCCATGGGCAGTAGCAGTGCTTAGTATCCTGGTCTCTCCTGGCTTTGAATCACAGCAGAAAGAGGAGAGATTGGGAAGTGAGTAGAAGCAAGGGCCCCACCTCTGGTCCCTGCGCCCATGGGTTTAAATCAGCAGCAGGCAGCTGGGGGCGGGGTGAGAATCGCAGCCGTGCCTTCTGGGAGAGAGCCGTCTCCCGGGCACAGGTGGTGGAGGGGTCCAGTGTTCTCAGCTGCAGCCATCTGGACCAGGAATCTGCCTCTCTGAGCTGGGAGAGAGCAGCAGGGTGGAGCAGGCTTAGTTGGAATGCCAGCATTATCTCACACAGTTTGCGTGGATTTTCTTTTTCAAGTGTTCCTTCATTTGAGATCTGCTCTCACAGTCATCTCCAAAGGCATTAAATGCTTTGCTGCCACTGCCGCCGGTGTTGTCTTAGCAGTTCCACTAGTTTTCCTGGGAAGCAAGTTAGCAGAGCACCTTGTATTGTCCTGGCCTAAGTTAACCTCTGGGAAACGGCTTTCTTCCCAGTACGCTCACTGTGCACGTCATGAGGCAGCTGGTGCATTTACCCGTCATGGCATGATCCTTTTACTCCCTTTTCCCCTCCTCCACAAACAGATATTCTACTTAGAGAACAGAAATCGGGGAAAACTAGCACCTACCGAAGGAAGCAATAACTGAAACCCCACTGACCAAGTGCCATTAAAGTGTTTTACTGAGAATTCCTCTCTGTACTGTCTTTGTGTTCACCTGTTTTTTTTTGGCACTTTCATCTCTCAGACCTTGATGTTGTCTTACTCTGTTTCTTTTTCTTTCTCCTTTTCTTATAGTTGGGATGGGAAAAATTTATTTCAAATAGGAAAACCAAGCAAAAGCCAATGCACAAAAAGACTAGCTTTCTTTCCTTAAGGGGTTCGGAACTAAAAAAAAAGAAAATTAGTTTACTTGCTTAAAAAATTATAGTCAAGAAGTGTACTAATGCTCAGAGCCTGGGAGAAAGGGGCTTTTTGTTCCTAACTGTTCAGGTTGTTTATTTCCTTCACCTCTGATTGCTCATTTTACTGACATTTTATGGCTCTTTCTTCTTGCGCTAGTTTTCTGATCACATTGAAAGTTCTTTGACATTTGTGGCTTCCAGCATTTAGTTCTCATCACTTTTCATTTTATTGTGTTTGTCCAGATACATGTACTTAAAGTTGAGCCTGAGCTCTTTGGACTTCAGGACTTTTTTAAAGCATTCATTGGCTAAGATTTTATAATGACAGTAGTGATATGAAGAACAGTTATGTTTATGAGTAATCTAATTTCACGTAGACCTCAGCTTTGCACATTCCTTATTGAAGCATAACTTCATTTCTTTTTTTTCTTTTTTTTTTTTTTTTTTTGGTCTTTTTCCTCTGTACCAGGGATCAAACTCACGACTGCCTGCTTGCAAGGCAGGCGCTTATGCTGCTGAGCTAACCCAGCCCCCATAACTTCATTTCTTATAAGAAATAAGCTTGTGTGAAGAAAGTGCTCCATGAAGGAGCACGCTGTGCAGTAGTTTGGATCTGAATTGTCCCCAAAGGCCCTGTAGTAAAGGCTGACTCCCTGGCCTGGCCTTCTTCAAGGAGGCTGTGGAACCTGGCAGAGGGATTGCTTCACTAGGGAAGTCAGGTGCCTACGGCTGAACCCTCATCTCTGACCTTACTTCCTGGCCCCCATCTGATGAGCAGCCACCTTGGCCACATGCACTGTGTGTGGAATGTCTGTGCTACGGTGGACCAGGGCAACAGGCCAAGCAGCCATGGACCGAAACTTGTGAAACCATGAGCCAGGGCAAGCCTTGCTTCCCCGCAAGTAATCTCAGTGTCTTGTTCTGCAGGTGATTCTTACATTGTTCTAGAGATGCGCATAGCCTGGGTTGTATGCAGAAAGCTCAGTGACGGAAAGTTGACCCAGGCTATGTGCATCTCTAGAGCAATGTAAGAATCACCTGTGCAACTTCTAAAACTGTAGTGCCAAGGTAAGACTTCTAACGTAGTTGAATCAGAATTTGGGGATAATAAAGTCCAAGTCTTTTAAACGTGGAACAGAATTGCATTTAATTGTCTTTAAGTTTCCCAAAGCTCTTTGAAGAACAAATTGAGCCACTTTGTTACTACTTCTTAGTTTTTATTTGTTTTTTGTTTTTGGAGATGGTCTCAATGTGTAGTCAGGCTAGTCTTGAACTCACTGCATTACCCATGCTGACCTCAAACTTAGGGCGATCTTCCTGCTTCAACCTCATCAGTTTTGGGATTGCAGGTATGTAGCACCAAGCCTAGTTTCTCCCCTGCATTTTAACTACCCTTTTCTCAGTTTCACAGGTAGAAATTGAATTGGTTAAGACTGAATCCGTTGATTCAAGATTTGTGCGGTTTTTTGTTTTGTTTTGTTTTTATACACAGTCTTGCTGTACAGTTTAGACTGGCCTTGAGTTCACCTTGTGACCAGGCTATCTTCCTGTCTCAGCCTCCTAAGTGCTGGGATTACAGGTGTATGCCACGATCCCTGGCTCTGATTCAAGAGATTTTGATAGAACGAGGTAAAAAACTGCAAATGAAATGAGGGGACCTGACAGAAGAAGCTGTTTCCTTTGAGGATACTAAACTGAAGTGTGAAGTTCGGCATCACTTGAAAATCTGAGTGTTTGCTCTGTGTCCAAGATAGAAACATGTTCCCCAGATTTCTCAAACTCTGTTATGTGAGAGATATTTTGTTCTTTTTAAAAGCATATTAATTTTTGTTGGTTTTTGATTTATAATCTCTCCAGATGTCTAACGGACCCAACAGTTCATATGAGGTTTCTCTTAACTTTTTTGTAATAACTGTTACTTATCCTCCACTAGGAAAAATTAATTTTCAAATCTTGGTTGCCTGAAAGTACAGATACGAAATTAAAATTATTCTTTCCAATTTTAAATCTTTTGGTAACTCCAGAGTACTTTTGTCTAGACCGTAGTCTTTATTTTTAGAATTTAATTGAAATATTATTACTAGAATCTGTATAATACCTGCTGGGATGGTTTATTTTTGAGGATTGGGATTTCCTGAAGTAATGTTTGTGAAGCTGTCCTACAGTGCTCTGGACTTGCCCTGGTGGTCACAGACTTTCAAAGGACCCTGACACCAGTGCCCTTAACTTTTCTACAGGTGAAATCAGCTGCCTGGGGAAACAACAGTGGGCTGTAATTAAACATTTGTCTTCGTTATATTTAAGCTGTTTCCTTAGGGACCTGAAGTTTGCAGAAATCTTGCAGTTTGACAGGCAAATCAAATTGCATGCAAGTTCTGGCAGGTGAGAAGCTCTGAGGGTGTGAGTGTGGAGCCCTGGAGACCTCCACAGTTACTTCCACTTGCAGTGGTGCTGTTCCTGGGCCCCTTGGCAGGTGGAAGGTGTTTCCCAGGGCGAGGCCCACCAGATTGTGAAAGTCCACCCACTGGCTGTGCTGTGTCCTCTGGGAGCTGCTGGTCCCATTCGCACGCCAAGCTGATGTTCACAGTGGAAGTGGCAGAGCTCTGTTGTGACTCAGGAATCCAGGCTATGATATGCAGACTCCGAGGCTGTGAGACACAGTGGAGGGAAATAGGCTCACTCCCCTGTGGCCAGGAAGCAAAGAGAAGGAGCCTGAGGCTTCCAGGCCATGCCCCATGCAGCTGCCAGCCCTGTGCCCATGTCGCACCTTCCCGAAGGCATGTCTCCAGCAGGGAGGCTGTGGGGTTCACTCCAGGTCTGAACCCTAAGGGGTTGGAGGCCTGATCACCCTCGTGAATGGGACTGACATCCTGTGAAAGAGCTGAAGGCCCATCCTCCTGTCCTTCCACAGTGTAGACACAGGTCGTCACCGGACACTAAAAGCCAGCACCTTGGTTATGGACTTGGTAGACTCTAGAAATACAGAAAGTACATTTCTCTTGTTCACAAGTCATCCAGTCTGTGATGTTCCATTATAGTAGCACAAGTGGACCAGGACGGATATTTTCCCAGTTACGTCATAGCACCTGGGGATGTAGCTCTGTGGTAGAATATTCATCTGAAGTATGCCAGGCCCTCAGTTGGTCCTCAGCACTGTAAAATAAGTTAACACCAACTAAGTTTGTATTAATGGAGTCATAGCAGACTGCCCATAAGTTGGGCATGAATTATGTGATGCTGTCCTACTTTCGTTTTTTTTTTTTTTTTGCGATCGTGTGCTGATGAACAGTGTTTGGGCAGATGCCATCCACGCTGTTAGACCGAGGGTGGCCCATCCGCCACAGACTCGGCCATCTGCATGTACAGTGCTGCAGAGGAGCAGGAGCTGGTGACAGCTTGCGGGGTTAAGTGAGTAAATTGGTTTTAATTGGAGCTACACTCAGGATTGCTGCTAGTTATGTATGATAGATTTATGGTTCTCAACTTTTTCATTAAAAAAATGCGGTGTTGCTTAGAAAGAGCAAATTTAGGAGAAGCTTCGTGTCCACCAGAGCCATTGGGAATGCCCACTAAGCAGACCAAGGGCCTCGTCCTGCAGTGCTTGGTTCAGTAGATTTGAGAAGAGCCTAGAAACCTGTGTTTATAGTAACAGGTTCTGCCAAAGCAGGTACTGCTATGCCTGGCTCAGCTAATCCAGTTTCCCTTATGGTTCATTCCTCCTCCCAGCCCCCAGCCTCCAGCCTTGGATGGTGAACATTCACTCGGTGCCTTTCATTTTAATAGAGGGTAGAAAGTCAAACATTGAAATAATCACGAAAATGAAACAGGAGTGTTGGAAAGATAGGGAATAGAGTCCCTGAAGCACTTCCAAGTGGGTAGCTGGCTTGGCCCTGGGAGATTGTGTGGGCCTCTCATTCCCTCCTTGAGTCCACAGCACCCACAGAAATGTCCCTACACACATGCTGTTTCCTGATTTGTGATGTTTCTGCTTATTTTCTTCCCCTCGTACCGTGGGATCTCCTACCAGGCTGGATAAGGCCATGGAATGCAGGAGCACGTAATGAAATGGAGCACAGGCTTCTGTTTGTGTGCTGGAGCAGATGGGGCTTGACAGCTTCTCTGATGCCTCTAAGACTAGTCAGACTTGGTGACTTACCGCAGCACGTTTCAGGGGAAGATTCTGTCCCTGCACCCCTCATTTGTTTGGTGCTCATTTGCAATCAAGGACATACTGTTGACTCGGCCTTTCCAGCCCAAACAATTTGAGACTCTTGTTTTTAGGGTACTAGTGCTCTCCCCCCACTCCCCTGAACCAAGTAAGGACAAGTGATATGGTAAACAAGGCACCAGGGGAATGGCAGGGCAAAGCGGTCTGTGTCTCCTGCCTGCAAAGGGCAGATTGGCACCCTGAAGGTTTCCTGATCAGGTGCCCCTCCTTCAGCGAGTTCACCCTCTGTGCCCTTCTGACTCTCCATGAAATCGGAGAATTTCTTCAGCAGTTCCTGTCTTGCTTTATGTGATTGTCTTCTCATTCGGCTGTATCTCTGCCAACCACTTGCACAGTCCATGAGTTTTGTTCCTGGAAACTGAGGACCTTCTCTCTCTTACCATTATTCTAGAATTACACGATAATACACAGGGATACCTTGGTTCATGAACTTCATTTGTTCCATGTGTGTGTTTGTGTGGAAAGGTGACCACTGGATGCAGAGTTTGCGGACAGAAACAAAATTTTGCCAAATGCTTCTGTTTGCCAACCAAAGTGTTGATGAACTGTCATACCACTGTGCATTGATGTGGTTCTATTTTTATTCATTGTATTTGCCATTTAGTGGGTCTTTTCAATTTGAGGTTTTTAAATTATTATATAGGTTTTTAAATTTAAGTCAATAAATGAGTATTATTTTTTAGGACCATATGTGAAGATATATAATGAAAAATAAATTATCTCACACCAGTTCACTCCCCAAAGCCAGTAGCCTCCCTTTTAGATTTTCCTTAAACTCCTAGAAATACCAAACCATTTATTTGATAGTTTCTTTGATATTCTGTCATTTGTCTTATGCTTTTATGAATAAAGTATTCATATATTTGTATGAGAAATAATTGTATCTTTTTTCAAAATAGATATTTTTATAATCAACTCATGATTGTATATATATTTAAATGACTCAGTAAATGAATGCTTGATGAACTCAATGGAAGAAGAATATGCTTACTAGTATTTAACAAGTATCTTTAAGTACCTTTTGGGCGAAAGCAAGATCGTTGATACTTCCTTGTTTTCTCCTGGCATATCTTCTGCTCGGATTTTGGAATTATTTCATATTTTCCACCTTGTTAGAAATACATACTTTCACTTTACTTCTCTAGAGTGTTCATATTTGTTTTTCCCAAAATCTACAAAGTTATTTCTTCCAAGTGTGTGTGTGTATGTGTGTTGTATATATCATACAGCGACAGTGTTACACAAGTGCTGGAGTTAAGTAAGCATGAGGCTGTGTGGATGTGTGTGCACATTAGGAAAGTACCTGTTGCAGTTGAAGTCTGGCATATGCTTGAACAAAATCTTAATGGCTACAGAGTCCAAAAGCTTGATTACATACATTGCCAGACTAAAGTGGGTGAAGACAGCTAGCTTCATTAATGTCCTAAACTGAAAAGATAGGCCTACTATACAGTAGGCATTTGAGGAAAGTAGTTTATTCCTTTGTTTGCAAATTCCTTTAAGGAACCGTATTATTTGCTTAAGAGGAAGGATTGCTCGTCATCATTTCCTTGTACAGTGTGAAAATTCTTTCTTACTGGTAAGTCTCTTCATAGGTTTTAAAGCTATACTGTAGAATTTTTTTTGTTTTTAAATTTTTTTTTGTCTTTCTGAGACAGGGTCTCACTATGTAGTTCAGGCTGGCCTTGACTCACTTTGTAGCTTAGGCTGGTCTCGAACTTGCAGTGATCCTCCTCCTGAATGCTAGGATTACAGGAGTGTGCCACTATGCCCAGCTCATGTGTTTTTTTATCATTGTCTGAGTGCTATTTGAATTACTGGGAATAAAGTATGTTTAAATGTATTCTTACCATTACTGTCTAGAAATCACAAATACTGTTTTTATATAATACTGAGAATTGTATGAATGAGTAAGTACTGGTTTTATGTAACTTCTTTCGCCAGATGATGGACCTAGACAGAGTGACTGTGTTCCTGAAACCACAGCTATGACACTACCAAGCGAGTCCAGGGTCAATGTACATGCCATCGTCACACTAAAATTGCTAGACTTCAGGTATGCAATTCACTTTATATTACAAAACACACTGAAACTTTTGAGAAAAAAGATCCTTCAGAAAAAGTATGATTGGTGAGGAAATATATAAAAGTATTTAACTTAGAATAATAGCAGTTACAAAAACAGTGATGAAATAAAAGCATAATAAATTTAAATGCCCATTCCTCACATGATTTATTATGACTAAGGGACTGATGATTGTGTTAATACTGAAATATTTCATAATGCAAAAATTTTATTTAAAAAATGAGAGAGTGACCATATTGCTAATACAGTTCTCTGATTGAGGAATCAGCATGAGAGTGAATTTTTTATTAGAGGGTGAAATGTTAGTAAGAAACAAGTATCATTCAGATAATGAAATCCTTGACTATGAGATAAATAATGTAGCAGAGGTATAATGTGATCTGGTAGCACATACATTAGCACTGAAACTGTATAAATTTAGACAAAAGCCTACAATTTTATATCTTCTAGAAGTTTTTAAATTGGTGAAAAAAGATACTTATGCAAGGACTGAGGGTACTGTAAAGTATTCTTTCAGTATGGAAACACAGAGAGTAAAAACAATCATAACTGTCAGTTTTTGGAGATTGCTTCATGTACCGCTATTGAACTGAAAGTAGAAATGACTACGGATTCAGGCCATGTGTGGTGGTAATCCCAGCACTGTGGGAACCCGAGGCACAAGAACTGGAAGTTTGAGCCCAGCCTGTGCAGCTTAGTGATTTAGTGAGACACTACCTCAGAATGAAAATATGGAAGAAGAAAAGTGTAGAATAGAATAGAAAGCTCAAGTCTTAGACAGGTAACTACGCAGCCACCACCGAAGTCCAACCCTGCATCGGTAATGTCTCGGGAGCAGTCATCTCAACAGTCAGGCATTTATTTCAGATTTTTGTTTTTCATTCACGTAATTTTCACCTCTTGCTCATGTGTGTAGAAATCACTGTGAACTGCTTTTTGCTGTGCAAATAAGGATACATCTTAGGTTGCTTGAATTCTAAACTTTAACTGTACTTGTTTCTCAGAAAATTTAAAGAATATCTTTTTTTTTTTCTTTTTGGTAACAGGGATCAAATTCACAACCTAGCATTTGCTGACCAGGCACTTACGCCACTGAGCTAAACCCCTGGCCCTACAAGAGTATCTGATTTGACATATAAGCTTAATTCTCAACCTCTAGAGTTCTTAAGTGGATGAGTCTATTGTGTTATGCATTAATCATTGTTAAAAAAAAAAAAGAATGTAAGAATAATGACTAATTATAATATCAACAAATTGTTACATTTCCAAACTGCTAGGGTTGTATATTTTCACTTAAATTTTTGAAATCTTACTGAAAAGAAGAATATATATTATGTGTATGTATCTCTCTCTGTATATATATATGATATATATATTAGAATCTGAAGAGATTACCATTATTATTTTTGCCTCGCAAGTCTTTTGCAAATGTGTGTGTGTGAAGATTCTGATTTCTAAGACTGAGACTTAGAGAAGTCAAATCGCAAAGCTCACTAGTGACAATCTTAGTAATAGCTTGGTCTCAGTCCACTGCCCTGTCTACTGTTTCACATGGTAAAGGAGAGAGAAATTGGTTCAGGTGACCCACCTAAAATTAATTTAGTGTGCTGATGAGCTTTTTAAAGTGCTTGTTATGACGTAACCCTTCTTTGAGTTTTTAAGGAAAAGCACAAGAAGCAGCTTTTGAAACTACAAGTCTAGGTCAAGTGGCAGGTAGAGGAGTATGCCGTTTAGTTACACTCAGTGTCTTGGTTTCATTTGCACTGGGTTTGTGGGTACTTTGGGTGGGCACAGCGCACTGCCACTTAGCATGTCATCTTGCACAACTTCACTGTTCTTTATGTAGCATCACAGGCAACTACCTTGAAAACTGTTGTAAAACCTTTGGACCTTTAGAAATGAAGACTAGCTCTGTCTTTATGGATTGCTAAGAGTATTTCTTTTTAAAACCATTTTTCATTCAGTGATAAGCAAACAGCTTTGATTCCTGATGAAGTATTCAATGCAGTAAAAAACAATGTCATCACTTCTGTTAACTTCAGCAAGAATCAGCTACATGAAATTCCAAAAAGGTAAGAAGTACTCACCATGCAAGTTTTATGAAGGTGTAAGTGATGCTCAGTTGTATCTGTATTACCTTTGTAAGAAAACTTAGTTTCTGAAGTTAATTTGAAGGTACACATTAAATTTCTAGATTCTTGATATTAGAAGACTGTGACAAAATGTCTGAGACAGTTTGTCCTAAGAGGTGTACGTAGCCTAAAACTGTCTTTTACGTTGTAAGCTTAGAAAATAGGTATTAGAGTTATTAAAAATATTAAATTATTTTTCCTGTATAGTGACTTGTTAGGGGGAAGTTTTTAGGGGCTAACCCAATTATAGTTCCATGTGTATTAATAGAAATTTTCATTTTAGGCCTTATGTTAATGAATTGCCAGGCCCCTGAATTGTCCCACTGATAAGAAAAATGACTATACCCCATTAATATGCTTTTCCCTGAAAAATTTCATTTGTAATCAAGAGAAATCATTTGGATTATATTTAATACTATTGAATATATCTTTGTTGATGTTAATTAGCAAAGTCTCTGGGTTAGGAAAGAAAATGAGTTTGGTATATTGTTGAACTTTTCAAGATGTTTGAGGTCTAGCAGAAACCTTACATATACCCTAGTGAAGTTGACAGAGAACCCAGCAGTTCCTTCAGCTCTGTGGGGCACGGGGATGTAGGCATGAAGTCGTCATGTGTGCTGTGTCCTGGACGCACTGAGGTGCAGTTTCGGGCAGGCCCACTCGCTGCTTCTGGACCCCTCACTCGTAAGGATAGCAGCAGTGTAGTTTAGAGTCCATGGCATAATCCGTACGCAGCATTTAACCAGACCCAGTGCTTAGCAAGCACTTAAATAGTTTCAGAGGAGGAAAGAAAATGATGAAAAGGGGGAAGAGGGTACAGTGAGCAAATAGAATGACTTTCATCTGTCAAAAAAGATCTTTAGATGCTTAAAAAATTAAGTCACAAACTGAAACGCATTCTATTGGTAGAGCGTAGTTTGAGGAATGCGGGTCTGGGAGGATGCTAATTGTGACAGCATCCATAGTGAAGGGAGGGCCAGGCTAGCTTTAAACTTAAAAATGTGAGGTCAGAAAAAAAAAAATGTGAGGTCAGGTAGAAATTCTTGGATCATAACAGTTCCATAGGTAATAAATAGTAAGGCTGTTTTTCTTAAAAGATTTTTTGTTTATATTAGTTACACATTCAACTGCAGTTTTTGTAAAAAATAAAAGATTCAAAAAAATGGTAATTGGCAGAAATAATATAGGATTTTTTTCCCTTGATCTATTTGTATACTTAGAGCTTTAAAGTTCTGAGAGTGAATTTAGTGCTAATATTTTAAAATTATTTTTGATTCAGGATTGTGGAACTGAAGGAGATGGTTTCTGATGTCAATCTCAGTTTCAATAAGCTTTCGTTTGTATCCTTGGAATTATGCATGCTTCAAAAATTGACTTTTTTGGATCTCAGGTAATTATTGTTAGTATTGGTTGGCTTTTTAAAAATTGTATCTTGTCTTTAACCTTACCTGACTTGTCCTGTTTGTCATGTTTTCATAGGTAGGTGTGGATGCTGGCTTCTCCCTAATTAACAGTATTTGAGGGGAAATCTAAAATTAAGTATTTAGCAGTTACTTGAATAAAATATTCATCATTCGTAAGGATAGTTGAGATGTTATTTAAGATATTAACATATACTTTAAATTTAGGCGTAGGCTGAATCAGAGCATATGAGAAATCCTGCTTTCATACTGTTTCCTTCTGAAAGGAAATAGCATAGCCCTGGCCTGGCAGCTCTCATGGCTTCCCTAATGGGAGTCTTCTAGGTTTCTAAATGTTACTTTGAATTCACAAGGCCAAAAGTAATACAGAACATTTTGACTGCCAACAAAAAGAAAAGACACTGTTTTAGGCTCTGCAAAATAATAGAACAGGATCAGAAGTGTGACGGGATCAGAAGTGTGACAATTCTTTACGTGTCTGTGTGTCTTGCGGTAGGTGGTCAATTATGTGCCTGGACTTTGCAGTTGGATTTGTAAACTGCATCTCTAGTACCTGGGCTAGCCGGTGATACAGCTATGTGGTGAATTGCTTGCTTGGCAAGTGCAAGGTTGTGAGTTTGAGCCCCGATATTAAAAGAAAGAATAAATAAATAGCCCTCTCTATTGCCTGGGGTTATTATGCAACCAAAATTTACTTTCATGTCTGATAACACTTAAGGATAAGACTCTAGGAACTAAAAACTAGCAATCAGCTTTGTGTTATTCAGTATAATATGAATAATAATTGTAGAAAAGTGCAGAGAAAATAAAGGACCGAGGTTACACTGTAGAAACTGTGACGTATCTGTTTGGCTTAACAGATACCCAGAGAAATAGGTTAGAGAGAATTTATTCAGTTGTAAAAGATGATCATCTAGATGCAAATAATTTATCACAGAAGTTTTCTCTTATTAGTAGTTACATTGCCTCTTCTCTATCCTGCCTTTCTATTAATCCTTCTTCAAACACTGCTCCCATCCTCTCAGCAACAAGTAAGATTCTCTGTATTTCTGTTTCATTGTAAGGTCTTAAAAAACAGGCATTGTACAAATTGAAATTCCAAGCTTATGAGCAGAAAAGACTTAGTACCTGTTGAGTAGAAAGATCCAAGTTTCAAAATATATAGAATCGCTAACTTCCTATTTCATTTTATCCTATAAATTTTCAATTCTTTTTGGGATAGAATTTTATATCTACCTGCAAGATATATGCATTAACAGCAGGAGGATATTTATTTCATATAGTATTGCAAACATGACCTGAAGGGCCCAGACTGTAAGTATTATTGAACTCAACTTAGAGGCCTTAAGTGATCGATTACAGTGTTCACCCTGTTACATCCATTATCCAAAAGTTGTAAGGTGGCTGTGTATTGTTAAAATTTGGCACCAACCAAATGCTTGAATCAGCTAATGGATTTGAAATTCTGAGAACTCAGCTGTAATATGATCAGGTTATATATTCACAAACACATCTGTATTCTTTTGCTCTTCAAAGTTTTAATTATAAGTAAACTTGTAGAAGTTTTCAAATATTGTGAATCATCTGTTTTTGCTTCTGATTTAGGAACAATTTTTTAAATTCTTTGCCTGAAGAAATGAAATCATTGGTAAGACTACAGTCGATCAATCTTTCCTTTAATAGGTAAGAGACTGAATACATGCAGTTGTTCTGAGGAAGAAATGTATTTCTTACTGAGGAAACAACTAAAAGAGACAAAAGACCCTGATTTTTGCCCTTATTTCATTGTGCAGATTTATTTTCTTTTAAATAATACTGAAAGTGATACTGGAATCTCACAATTACTATCTAGCAGGGTTTTTGTTTCCTTTTTACCATTTTGAGAACCCTGTGGTTTAGTGGAAAGAAAACATATACAAATCAGTAATCGTTGCTTTAATGGGAGCATTGCATAGCATATTACTCAAAGGTGCAGAAACTGAGGCTGGGGAAGCAGGCGTTTGTCAGGCAAACACGTGAGGCATCCCAGGGGGGAGCGGGAGTGGGACGTGTGCACCAGAACGCAGCGGGGAGAGCAGAGTGTGTCCGAGAGACCCCGAGACACTGCTCCTGGCCCATGCATCCAGGAGACACAGGTGCAGCGGTGACAGCGAGCTGTAGCCAAGTAAAACTTAGATGTGTTTCTACAAACACCACCAAGATAACCATAGGTAATCCAAGCGCAGCTGACTCTTTGGGAGCTTATGAACTGACGGTGCTGTACTGAGTACTTTGTGTAACCTAGCTCATTCTCAGGTCATTCCGTTATTATGCCTACTTATAAAATCACTGCCCAAACATTCAGTCCCTAATCCAAGGTGCGCACAGGTAGTCAGGTACGTGGAGCTGGAATTTGAATCCAGGTAGCTCAACCTCCAAAAGTTGGGCTCTTAACTGTGTCATGTTGCTTGCTATGATGAAAATTGATTCTAGTGGCACTTTAATAAAAATGCTAGTAGCTAGCATTTACTCTAACCCTCATAAGGCCCTCAAATACATTTATTCAATCTGTCACCGGTTTACACATCTAGTAGTATCAGGCCGCAGGTGTGGTGAGAAAGCTAATGCGTTTTGATGTGAACTACACGTTATTTAATCTCTGTTCAGTCTGCTGATGAATGTTCTTCTTGTCATTACTAAAAATATGCTCAGGTCTCAGGTCTCTTCTAACTTGTACTGGTAAACTGAGCGATTGGTTTTCTGTTAAGCAGCCAGTTACACTGCAAGCAGTGCATACAGAGTGGCAGAAACTCTCCGTGGCGTCTGTGCTAACAAGGAGTTATGTTCCATGGTCACTGTGTTCAGAGTTGGAGGAGGGTGAGAAGGGAGAGGCCTCTGAGGAGCTGTTCTAGGCTATCAGTGTCTTACTGCCCCTGGGGCTCCCCTCCATTATTTTTCTGGGTTTATTTTTTTAAACCTCGAAACAGCAAAAACAGGAAGCAGAGTGTGGGAAATGAAAAACCTGCAACTGTAAAGCTGTCTGCCAGCCCGTCTTTTTCCAGTCTGCCTAGCCGTTTACCTCGTGCCGAAAGCTGCAAAGGCCTTGCCTCTGTGATTTGTGTCAGTTGAGAGCTGTCAGCCTCCCCATCCGTCCCGAGCCGCCTCCAGGCTGCCTTGGACCAGAACGCTGCTGTGAACACCAGGCAAGAAAGTCTGGTCCTCTTAGAACCCAAAGGGTACTCATTTTGGAAGCCACATTCAAAGTAAAATACAACTCTGAAAATTTACTTAATATACTGGCAGTGATTTGTAAGAAGTAAAAAGGAACTCAGGAAGAATACCTGTGTGAAAACATTAGGTAGAGAATCTTGGAGAATTTCCTGCTGTCCTGACTGAACAAAAAGCACGGAAGACCTGACCCTGAGCCTTCGGCTGATTGTTATGCAGTCTGCCATAATTTATAAGCCTGTCCACTCAGCATGCATTGCAAGGTTTCTAAAAGTAACCCATCTTCCAGGCAATGTGAATATAGGACTTACACTGAATATAAGTAGAATATATTAAAGGCTTATCTCATGAAATTTAAGATCATATGTTTTAGGGAAAGATTTTCCTTCTGATTCCAGGTGCTCTGTTCATATATGAATAGGTTCAAAGTCTTGCCGGAGGTTCTGTATCATATTCCCACCCTGTCGACGATTCTGATCAGTAACAATCAGGTCGGGGCTCTGGACCCTCAGCAAATGAAGATGATGGAAAACCTGACGACCTTGGACCTGCAAAACAATGACCTTCTACAGGTTCCACCGGAGCTCGGGAACTGTGTGAGCCTTAGGTAACTGCACTGTCTGCTGACTTTTCCATTCGCCTGCTTGGTGTGCTGAAGTGGTATTTTTTCATGATTTAATCTGAAAGTTGGAACTTAAAATCCTGTTAAAAGTAAAGTTGACGCAATTCAGAATCCCATTACTGGCTTTCGGGTTTTACCAATACTTTCTGCTTTGTTTATATGGTGTTTATGTGTATCTATCCTAATTCTTTCTGGGAGCACTTTTCTCATTGTTCCGTATGTTTATGATCTGAAACTACTGTGTAAAAGTGTTGGATCCGAGCTTTGCACACAGGAAATTTGAAATCTGATGGCAGGCGTCACCTTGTCATTCCTTTACTTCTGCCCGCCCCTCGGTCTTTACCCTGCTTTCATTGGTCATCAGCCTGCCAGTCAGTCCCCTTTGTGAACACTTGCCCTGTCTCCAAGCAGAATTAGATTCTGTTCTGACTTCCATTATGCCATTCTTGGGGTGCTTCTGTGGAGAAGAGTTGTCCCAGTGTCTAGAACACAGTGAGCACTCAGTAGTGCTGGGCTAAAGAATATAAAGGACGCCAGTGATGTTAATGGAGCGCCTGCTGACTAAGCAGCATGTGTCTGAAGAGCTGATTATTGAAAACTGTGTTGACTGTGTAGTGTGTTTCCCTTCCCTGGGTCCACAACGTCTGCTGCGCCACTCACAGCATAGCTGATTCCCACTGCTGGCTGCAGTGGTGCCCTAAAACTTCTCTGTGAACCCAAGTAATGAACACTTAGCCACTCTTCCAAGCGGGAGGCAGGGGTTCGACCTCCACAAAGCTCTGGTCAGGTTTTCCTCGGCCCATCAGTATGTCACTTTGTGTGCGCTTCGGCATTTATTTCTGATTCGTTCATGTGGAATCATGGCCAACAGCGCTGTAATTGGTGCCTGAATGAAGCTTACCTAACACATATTTTCCAGGAGGTACATGTGTGCTTAAGGACCTAGAAAACACTTGCGCCTGGGGGCCACCTTACACCACCAGAGGCACAGGAATTTGCAAAATGCAGCATTAAGTGGATGGTGTAGAAAAGTCATTTGTTCACAGTATGTGAGCCGAAACGAGAAAGCAGTCAGCCACACTGGGCAGGCAACTCCAGCGTCACTGCTCTGTGTGCCTTGTGAGTGACCTCGCACATCCCACACGTGTTGGTTTTCAGGTTTCCAGCAAATTAGTGATTTGGCAGATTTTTACGTATGGAATCTGTCACTGATGAAGTTCAGCTGTCATTAACCCTTATTTTCTAGGAAATAAAGTCTCCAAAAGAATTCCTAGGAGACAAATATTTGAAAATACAGCGTAGGTCAACTATAGAAGATAGTCTAAGTCCTTTGACTTTTGTTTATATTAATTATATTATAAAAATATTCATTAAATGATAAAAACTAATTTGAAAGTCTCCTAATTGAGAATATTTCACTAATTCTGTGAAGAACCAAAGTACCATCCCTAAGTCCTAACTGAATGTGTAAATAGAATATCTGGACATGTGTGTACCTGGGCAAGGGGGAGAGGGCGGCCTGGGATCAGTGGTTCCTTGCTAACATTGCAGCCTGCTTTGTGGATGGTTGCGGTCAGCTTGCTCTGTCCGTCCAGCCCTGCCTGTTTGTTCACTCAGTGTATGGCCATTGTGAGGTTTGGAGGAGGCCCACAAGAGTGGTTCAAAGCACGGTTCCTCCCTGGGTGCTGTGTGACATTAGTCAGGGCCTCCTTACCTCCTTCAATTTGTGTCTTCCCGTCTGCGAACTGGGAATGTTAACGGTACCTACATCATAGGGTTGTTAAGACAGTTGAGACAATACAAATAAATGAATGCCATCCCGTTCACATAATAATTACTCCAGTAATATAATTTGGGTTAGCATAGTTATAATTCTAACTGTTTAAATGCTCAGATTTGAAAAGGGGAAAATTTAAAAATACAGATTTTACTTATAAAATTGCCAAGAAAATTTATTTTCATGAAAAAACCTCAGTGGTGGAAAATGTCTTCAGCTCTCAACTTCTCTTTTATTGTAGAACATTGCTGCTGGACGGAAATCCATTCCGCGTTCCTCGAGCAGCCGTGTTGGCGAAGGGCACCGCCGCTGTCCTGGAGTACCTGAGGGACCGAATTCCCACTTAGACTGTAGGCCCTTCCTGCCTCTGGCCGGCTGCATTCCCAGGAGGATGCACTGTTTTGTTTTTGGGTCATTCTAAAGGTGACTGCTATAGCTAGCCCTACAGTCCCCGGGTATCATTGGCCTGGGCCAGAGTCACTGCCACTAGAGGGGCTTTCCTGACAGCTCATGTCTCCCCAGGCCCTGCTGTGCTGCACAGTGTTGGTGTCCACGGGGCGCCCGCAGTGTTCAGTGGCGTTGTGGTGCCCTCTAAAATTTTGTGAGATTTTGTTCAGTATGATTTAATACTTTTGTAATACAGCATTTTTGTAGAATTGGGTTTTTTCCTTTGTTTTCTTTTTGTATTCCAGATAAAGTGACTAATTGTTTTGACTCTGACTAGCCAATTTGTACCTTTTATGAGATATAAAAATCAATTTTACTGAATATTGTTCTTTGACATTTTAAAAAATAAGACTTTTGTTACCCATGGTAAGATTTTATGACATAGTCCTGGTAGAAGTTTTAAATTAATACTGCCTGGTTTTTATTTTAATCTAGTTGACATGTTTCATTTCTAGTGATGAACTAGCTCTTTTGTCTGTTTTATAAAATCATTTCATCAGGTTTGCTGATTTCACAGAAACGCCCCTCAAGGCATAGAAGTCGAAGAGAAAGTACAAGTGGTATTGTGCCTGCTGCCAGCAACCTGCTTAGTAGGGAGAAGTGCAAGGGTTGCTGTGGCTGCTGCCAGTGACTCCGCCAGCACCTGATGGTTTGCATGACGTCTTCGTGTGCCCACGCGATAGCGAAGTCAGAGCTGCGCATCTGCCCTCCGTCAGAGCGGCAGCACTTAAACGCCTTTTGCCCCTTAGGAAAAAGATACTGAGCCTTCCCTCAGATAATCTACAGGGGACTATGCAGCAAAGTGCGACAGGCAGAAGCCAGTAGCCTGTTTCAGTGCTCACTGGGCGAGAGCGTGCAGACCTTGTGTGCCCGTGGGTGTGTGCAAACTTGTGTTCATTTTTATTACCAACACTTCAGTTTTAAAATTTGTTTGTAGTCCTGATAAGACAGCAGCCATGCAGTAATTTTCTAAAAGGGAATTTATCATGGATAAACTCTATTTAATGGAAGTCAGATGTAAAGTTCTGTTTACACTAATATCATCAGAAGTAGGTTTGTGTGTCATGTGACGTGTTTCTCATGAGCACTCACTTCAGTATGTGGATTGCAGTAGGCAGATGTGATTTAGGTAACTTTGGGTGATAGAGGCACGTTTAAATTATGAAAATGCTTTACTGCTAATGAAGATAAATACTACATGTTGGTAATAAAAAGCATCTTTCAAACATCAATCAGTGTTTTTGTGTTAAGAGCATTTTTATGTTACAACTCTGATAGTAAACAAGATGCTTTACAATAAGGTGACATTTTATTATTTATACAATAAAGAGACTTTTATGTTATTCAAAACACTTTTTTTAAATACTGAAAAAAATTGAGTACACCAGAGCCGAAAATGGCTCTGCCGTACACTGCACAGCATTAGTGTAGTCCCTGTGTGGATCTGTACAGAAAGCGTCTGCAAAATGCGTTCTCATCACACTGTACACCTCCCCGATCGGATCAGTACGTGAAAGAAAACATGAATACAGCTTGCATTTGCAAATTAACTGACAAGGTCATGAATTTCACTGATCCCATCAATTTAAAATATAGATTCATAGGACTTCTTTGCACATAAAATGAAGCGCTTTCAAGGTTGTTATGGTCTTATACTGCAAAAAAACCATTAAGTACATTCACCATCTATGTTAATAAAGTAGTAAATATGTCTTCATTCAGTTTTATTTACATCAATATGTGTAGTTCAACTAAAAAGTACTGTTAATCATGATACAGTATTTTAACACATACAAAAAATGACAGTTTTATATATAACTTTAAGCTCAAAATCACAATTATCTCAAAATATTAATTACAATACAGCCATTTCAATTAAACATGTCATGATTTGTTTTTTTTTATAAAATGGTAAAACTTTTTTTTATTAAAGTAAGCAATTTATTTTGAATTGGCTAGAGTACACCCAAGTAGAAAATCTTAAATGTTAAGAGGTGTTTCTTGCCCCCTCCCACCCGAATTTGTACAGCCACCTAGGCTAGCAAAGAGACAAGAAAAGGCCCCAATTTATAAAGATTAAGCCTCTTTTGCTATACTGCTGTGGCTTGGTTCTTTCATAAAAGCTTTACAAGTGGAGTATCAGTAAACTATGCCATGGAATGCATGCATCAGTATACAGTATGTCTATGTAAAATGTCAGTGTTTACTAGTGCACATTAAAATGTTCACAAGGACTGCAAAAGAAGCCAAAGAAGAAGCACTTTATCTGCCCAATACGTGTTGTAAATTTGAAAATTACTTGAGAGTAGGATGGAATTTCTTTGAAATCAGATGCCCAATTCCAGTCCTTTCTCTGACTGAAGCTCTGCTTTCTTGGCCTTACCATGTCACTGTTGTGCTGCACATATGGTAGTGAAGTGAGATGTGAAAAGAATACAAATCTAGAGACGCTTCATTTTACTAAAATAATGGCTCAAAGTTGCGTCACTGCTCAGGAATTTTTCTTAAACTTACAAGAGTGAAATATTTCACTAAACTGTATGATCTGCAGTGGAAAATCTGTGTTTGGCATATAAAAATATATAGGAGGAATTAGAATTCAATTTTATAGAATACTCCAGAAGAATGGAAATTAAAAATAGATAATGAAAAAAATAATTTTTGTAGGTACTTAAAACCTAAAAAGTATTATGTAGTATCTTTTCTCTTTAAATTGTTCTTAAACCAAAAACTATCATTTTCTTCACAGTCACTTCTGTGTAATATTTCTCCTCCGAGACCACAGTTATCTTACCAGGGTTCACTGGCTGGGGAGTATGTTTGAGCAGCAGGTTGCAAAATGGGAAAAATAAAATTTTAAAACTGATACTTGCAATAAACTGCAGTAAGCTTGCATTATCTTTGTACAGGGTCATTTGTAATGGGCTTTGAAATTCACAGACCAGTTGATTTAGCTCTGATTTTCCCAACCTTGAGAAAACTCTGCCCTCTAGCTGTAGATGTTAGCACCCTCGAGCCTCAGTGTGTCCCTTGGTACACAAGCATACCAAGAACCCTGATAGGCTCTTCAGATAAAAGCTATGTACTATAATTTATCTGTCACTTCCCTTTCTCTTCATTCCAAACTGAAACTAGGCTTACATTTTCCAGGAGGAGAAACATAAAGTGAAATGCCTAGTTGTTTAAAGAGCAGAAGTATTAAACATTTATTGCATTCCACTGACACTAGGTGTCATCAAAGCTAAAGGATTTATGAAGAGCAAAGCTTCACAATATGCCTCTTCTTTCTGACCTGAACCAGAAGCCTTTCCCACCTTTCAAGACCACCAAGAGTCCTCTGAGTAGAAAGACTATAAGTGTTGAAAATAAATTTATTTCAGTAATACATTCTGAAAAGAAATTACTTTTCCAGCCAATATGGGAACTGCTTTAGTGTTCGTCTGCCTGAGTTTCATGGATTTCCTGTGGACTTCACAAAAATGATCTACAATTTCCCAACTAAAAGATTCTTCAATCCAGGACTAGGCAAGTCTAAGAGGCATGCAGAGAGACAAGGAAATACAATGTGATTTATATAGTCCATTTGTCAAATGCATTCCCAAATTTAGCTATTACAGAGGTCGGCTGACCACACATGGGCACTGCTAACCTCTTACTTCAGCTGTGCAAACAAAGATGCAAAGAACCCTCCTATGTAGGGGTGTCTACATGTAGACACAGAACCTGAGTCACAATAAAAGTCTGTAATATAAGAAAACTTTTCTTAATGTAGGAAAATAACCTTTAAAAAGCCAAAAAATACCTTTGTACAATAGAAGCAGCTAACTTTAAAACTTCAATGTGCTTATTAAGTATCAGCAAAAAAGGGATAATTTACATTTGATAATTTTCTCAACGATAGCTGAGATAACCACATTTTATATCTAACATCTATAGTCATTCCCCTGAATTCATCCATTTTTCTAAAAACAAAACCCATAAAAAGAAACTATACACACATTCAAATGAGTCCTATTTAATTGCTGACAAACAGTGCCTGTTACTAATTTGTGCCTGAATATTGAGGACATAGGAGTTTGGGGTTGCTAGTGCCAACTTACAGTGGAGCACTAAAATTTAAAATAAGCTACAGTATCTATTATTAAGAGAAATATTGTGAAAACATTTTGCAGACTGAGAGGCCAAAGTCTGCCTGGAGCTGCACATTTAGGCTCCCAATCTTGAGACTGTGAACTCTTCAAAACCCTTCTTTCTCCACACTGCTGTTCCTTCGCTTTCATAAAAGGCTTCCTCCTCTTTTGTGCTTAAACACTTCATTGTTCCATCTGGAGCACCTCTGCATGCAGCCACCAGCTACAGGGCCCTCTTTCCTCCTCTACATCTGTCTTTAGTTTTCTCCAGGAGCTCAGTTCTCCAGAAACAACTCCTTGGCTTCCCCTTTGTGTCATCTACTCTTTGGAAGAAAAGCTGCTTAAATGTCTTCACTGTCTGGTCACTAGATACAGATTTAAGGCTCAATGTAGGACATATTGATTCCTTGGGCTACCTCTCAGATGTATACTGATAATTCATAGAAAGGTGAGGGGATTCCCTGCTGCTCCTAGTGAATTCCATTAGTTATGTGTTAATGTCAGTTGCTCACTGTCATCCTGGACAGAGAGAAGCCATCTGAAGCAATGGCTTCATCCCTGCCAAGAGGGCTCTGCATGCTTATATTAGCAGCTGAGGGGTTGGGGCAGTTGCCTGGAGAGCTGTCTGTTCTCCCTGGCCAGTGAGCCTGGTTTGGGGACAGGATGCCAGAAGGTAAGGGAGTTTTGACATTAGCAAGGGACCTAGAATCTTCCTGCCTTTTTATTACGACACTTGCCTGAGAAGGATTTTTGCATTGTGCAGAAGGCTAAAAGCAGAGTCACACGTCGTCTGGCAACAGGCTTGTTGCCATGGAAACCAGTGCAGAAAAATGAAAGTATGACAAGAGGCGAGGAATTAAAATGTGGGAAAAAGAACTGCTAGGGAGTTGCTTTCCACACGGCAACTTAGGCATTTGGGATTTTTTTAAAAAGCCGTTCCTCATGTGGCCAGATCGGTGAACACGGACAACGGTGTGGAGCTTGCAGCTTGGGTCAGGGGAACTCCGTGACCCCGGTTCCACCCTGGTAAAGTTAAGGTTTTCAGCCCCACTGTTTAATCAACTGTATGATCAAACACGCCCCTCAGGAAAGCCTGTCTGCTCGGTTCACAAAAGCAGTCTGCTCTAACAGTTCTGTCCTAACCTTGGAAGCCAGCATATGTCACCTGACAAGATTATTGCACGCCTGGCCTCTTATTGCTTGAAACATCTTTCCAGGTATTCAAAAACAATGAGAATAGCAAACACTCAAGCTCCCCTCCCTCAGCAAGATAAGCTATGACAAGTAACCTATAATTCACTTCTTTTTTCTTTCTGGTACTGGGGGTTGAACTCATGGCCTTTCACTCACCAGGCAGGTGCTTATGCCGCTGAGCTAAATCCCCAGCCCCCAGAATTTACTTCTTAAGGAAATGATTGCTTCACTCCACGTGATGGAAGGGCTCCCTGACTCCCAGACTTGATAATAAACTAATGAGTGCAAGCTCTAGGATTCCAGGAAAAGCTTGAGGATTTAAGTTTCAGCTTCAGCAGAGAAAAAACAGACCTGCATGTTGAACTCTGAGGGTCTCCATGGGAACTGCACCTGTGTTATACTCCCCACTTCCCAAAAGGTTATTTCTTTTTTTTTTGTCTTTTTTTTCCTTTTTATCGGTACCAGGGATCGAACTCACGACTGCCTGCTTGCAAGGCAGGCGCTTATGCCGCTGAGCTAAATCCCCAACCCCGGTTATTTCTTGAAATATTGTAATTAATGCCTTATTCCTGGGGCTACAGCCTGCGCCTGATTGAAATGCAATTACCGTAAGGAGATAGGAAAGGTCACACCACAGATAACTTAATTCCACCCTTCCCCGAGTGCAAAGTTTCAAACAGTAGTAAGACCCTTCACCTTACCCTTCCTTCTTCCCTCATACATGTCCAGAGAAGAATTTAGAAACACCACATCCACCTGGACCACAAGGAAGGAGGGATGCAGGGCAGGAAGCAGGGTGCTCTTTGGGTAGGAAGTACACAGAATGCAGATTTCACTAGAAACACTTTACTACTAACTTTTTTTCTCATGACCTCCTGACCTATCAGAGCTCCTTACTTAAGCTTCTC